GGCTTTATTTTTCAATCAATTTTTTTTGTTTGCTGGTATTTCACGATACTACAAATTGTACACGTTATGCATATATATAAATAGATTTTCTCGTATGTAGAACCGTATATATATATATAAATATATATCATCGAATGTTTCACAACCAACACCATTAATTATTCACACATACACATGTGTATACATATACAATTTCTCCTACATGTTGCCTTGGTGCCTCCGTAGTACGATGACAAGTGGTTCATGGGGGCGGTAGTGGGTAATAGTATTCTCCTTTGGGATCTATGACCTGGTCGAGCAAAAATCCGGCTATCTCCTCTTGAAGAGGTAGTATGTGGTCCGCTAGTAGGAGCTTATCCCGCACCTCTCTGAACTGTTAAGAAGGAGATCAATATGTATGTGTATTAGTTGTGTGACTAGATATCGATAATGTGTAAATAGTGTTCTGACAAACGTACCCAGTCATGTCTATCAGATCTGCTCCTTTCGGACGTCATCATGCAAATGTTCTCACAAACGTAGAATGCACACAGATCATTCCCCGGCGCCTGCTTCAGGGCCTTTACGAGAATGGAATTGAACCAGATAATGATTAATCAAGCATGATAATTAATTAATAATATTGAAACAAAAATTAAAGAGATGGTAGCTAGCTAGTACTACTTAATTACTTACCTTTGGTCGATGCCAAAACAACTTTTTTGCCCATTTGCCTGGAGTCACCTTGATGAACTTTGCCCATGCCCTGCCCGTCGACAAAGAAAATTAATAAAGGGGTTATTAAATAGTTCATATCAGGAAATGACGAACTAATAATAGGCCGAGATATAGTTAATAATGATTGAAATTACCTGTTGACTATCCACTTCACGATGGTGTAGTCTTTATCCCCGTCAAGAGAACTCCATCCCCGTCAAGATCAGAATTCAGATCTACCAGCCAAGAGAACTCCATCCCCGTCACACCGTTCACCCCGCCGCCACCGGAGTCGCTCGACGATGGACAGCCAGCGGTAGGGTGCCCCCCCCCCTACTTCTTCCTTGCCGGTCTTCTTCGATCTCCATCTACGTATGGCCCGTCTTCCGAGCTGGTCCGCGTTAGGGACGCCTTGACTTGATCGCTGTCATGTCGGCACCGGCGCC